GTGTGGGTGCATTTTAAGCATTTTTCATAGAATAACAGAAAGTTATGTTGGAAGGACTTCAAGACATCACACAGTCTTTCTCTCCTAAGGAAGACCAGCTCTGCCTTTGCCATTGTGTGCAGATACTACATAACCTTCTTCTGTCTTCCACAGATAAGGAACCCCCTCAGGCAGCCTGTACCTTAACAACAATGGAAAATTTTCCCAAAGCCCAATCTAAATCTCTCCCCTTACCTTTTAAGATTTTTTTGTTTCCATTACTTCTTTCTGCAGAACCTGAAGATCTATTCCTCAAATACTTTTTTTTTTTTTTTTTTTTTTTTGGTGTTTTTTTCCCCTAGACAAAACTAGTCCCATTCTTGTAAGATTTTCTTGTAGAGGATGTTTTTCAGTGAATTGATCAGAATTGTTGCTCTCACCAGGATTCTATCTGGCAGGTCCACAACTTCCTCCATTTGTAATTCTGCCAACCATATGCTTGAGTGTGGGTTTGTCAAACATGCAGCAGTGTGACTATTTTTTAACTCATATGCTGGCTGAGATCCACTGTAATCCTTGCATTGCTTTGTCTAGGCTACTGACTAGCCTGGTCCATGCCATGGCTTAGGCACTTGGGATGAGGAATTGCTACTGTATAATCAAATCACATACATCCCTCTGTGGATTTTATGCCTTATTTTTTGGTGGATCTTCCAATATGTACAAGGAAAGGCCCACATCAGGCTGCATTCCTAAAGCAGCATATTTCACTACAACCATTACAAGCATCTCAAGGGGAAACTAAGCAATCCCTAAATCCTGCACAGGCAGAAAGGTGGGCAGATAGTTTGGATGCCTATGGGATGAAGGCTGAAGCTATGCATGCACACGGAATTAGAGACTGCACTTCCTGATCCCCCCCGTCTCTTCATGAGACATTTTTTTCTTGGGCAGGCACCCTGCTCCCCACCTGTCCCCAGTACCAGGATTGCTCTCTGAGAGAAAAGAATGGACAGAGTCCAGAGTGATGTGAACACTGATTTGTGGCTCTAAGAGCAGCTTCCACAAGTGCTCTCCACAAGTCCTGAAGCTAGGATGCATTCTCTGAGGCCCAAGACAATGCTGGTGTGAAGGTCCATATGCCTTCACCTGTGTGAACACCTTTTGGTGCATCACCTCTGACAGCATTCAGAATTGTCTCTTGAGTTTTCATTTCAGAAGTTATGTGACTACCTGAATATTTGAGGTTTAGAAAAGGCACATTTCTAAATATTTTGATCTCAGGAAATGTCTCAAAACCATGAACTCTAAACTTCCAAAAGCCAATTAAAATAAAATAATAATAATAAAAAAGAAGATAGGATTTATTTAAGAAAATTATCATTTTAGAGTAATTCTTGCTGGTTCTCCAGGTCCCTTTACTCATGGCTTCTGAAAGCTTGCATGTGGCAAGCTATGAGAACTTTGGTGCAGTTCTTGAACTGCTTTCTGGTATTCAGTTGGAAAAAAACCCAAACCCTAAACATATAATGAATAAAAATTATATCATTGTTTAACAAGAGGCTAGTTTTCCTTTCATCACACACAGACCTGTCAGACTCTACCTTTTGAAAGAACATTTTATGCCACACATGAAAATACCTCTTTAGGGCAGGAAGTACAATGGAGCTGGAATTCATGATTTGTATTACAATTATCTTCTGTGACTGCCAAGCACAACTTTTTTCCTGACAAGGCTGCCAATGGAGTCATAATCCATACCACAAGACTTTTCCAGAAGCATGTACATGGGAGTTCACTGAAAAATCATTCCCTGAAAATAAACTGAACAGTGGGAACAAGTGAATGAGCTGTGGAAGAAAAATGTGTGTCAGACGGACAGACGGACCCACCTCGTCACAACAGGAAATGGTGGGAAGGAGATGGGTGGACAAACAACAGAAGTAAAAGTGTAGATGGATCTTTTGGCTTCATGACTCGCCTTTCACACTTTTCACCCCACTCTACCATCAGTTAGCCAGTGCCAGGAAAGATGTCTGTGAACATATTAAAATTCCTCTGGGAAATATCAGCAGGAAAGGTACCCTGAAGGAGGTGGACTCTCTCTAAGAGGTGCTGCTTGCTCTTGCCTGCTGTGTCTCTCATTGATCCATGCAGGGCACAGGACTGGAAATGCTCATGAGAGCCATAGGGTATAACCTCTTGCTACGCTTGACACCATGTCATGAAACCCTTACTTGCCCCAAGGTATTTGCTAGAAGCACTCGTGTCTCCTTTACTCTCTGTTACAGCAGGAGAAACAAACTCAACTCTTCCCATCTCTTCTCATAAGCCAGACCTCCATGGCCATCCCACTGACCCTGGTCTGCTCATCTCCTGCTCTGCAGACATCACTCTTCCAGACAGCTGTCAAGTGTCCCCCTCATCTGCCCCCCACCCTGAGGGTCATGGTCTGTCTGATGGGTCTGTGGCTGTCCAGGTCTCAGCTCCATCTTTCTCGCCCTCCTCTGCTTGTCTGTGGGTGTGCTGGGGATATATGGCCACCTGGCATTCCCCTTGGGCATGCTTGATGCCTGAGGAGACCCACACAAGGTGTGTTGTGATCCAGATGGAAAACCCCAGAAATCCTTAGAGCACACAAGGTTTAGTTTCCTCTGGGACAGCACAGAGAGGGTGGGAAAGGAGGTGCTGAATCAGTTTCTCTCTAATGAAGGAAAACATCTGACAGAGCATAAGGCCTATGGTATAATACCTCCTCTTCCTCAGTATACTGTCGTTCCTAATGCCTCCTGTCCTCTGGCCAATGAAGAACCAAGGAGATAAAAAGCAAAATTGTTTTTGTGAGAGATCGCGTGGCACTCGCGTGGCACTTAAAGATTCTTCTTTAAGTTCAACTCAGCCTTAGAGCCATTTACTCAAACTAATGCTTTTCATTTCTAAAATAACTTTTTTAGTATTTGTATTTCTAGAGAAAAGAACTGGAGATGCATACACTGCAGTTCTGAAAGCTAAAAATCACCAGGCAAGTAAAAGCAACAACGTGGATCAAAATCTAAGCAGCTTATTTTAGCATAAAATAGAGATATTATTTTTAGACTCAGCTGTTCTCTTAAAGCTTAGAGCTTTACCCACAAAACTTAAAGCACCAGGGTTTTAATCAGAATTGGTCAAATAGATTTTCACTTTTGGATCAGTGTTTCAATCAGTCTCATGAACAACTATCATTGCTACAGAAGTGGAAAAACACCCAAATAAGCAAAATGCAATCCAAACTGCCTCCACAGAAAAAGGGGCCATGGCTCAGGAGAGTGCTTGGGCTGTCTTTACACCACCAAAGCCTTTCAACTCTCTCCCTGCAGCCAGCAGGAAGAAGGCAGTGGCACTGCTTGCCTGGTTTCACTAAATGGTAGACAATAATAAATCCTGCAGCCTTTAAAGCATATTATAAATACGGTTTCAGTGTTACACTGAAGATCAGAAGAGAAGAAACAAAGGAGGAAACAAAGTCAGGCATCACGTTCATTTTGATGAATGACAGAAGAGTGGTGCACACACCACAGTGTCCCTGCCAGCTCTCTCCTCATCCACTGGTATCAGGTGATGCCCACAGTAACCTCTGTCTTTTCCTGGGGATAATGGATGTGAAGAACGAGGGTCTGGGGTTGCTATCAAGGTCATGCAATTCACACAGTGCTAAAGAACCAGAAAACCTTATTTGAGAGTCCATATTTTCATATATGCTAAAGAATTGCAGAAGCAGCTTCCTGAGCAGCAGGATGGTATTTAACAGTCTCTTCCCTGTGTATTACCCAGTGTCTAACATGAACTGGATTCACCTCTTGCAGAAACAGTATCATGAAGCATCTGCCTGTTTCTCGAATTCAGAAGTGAGCCAATGCATTCCACAGAGCTGGGTGTGGGGGACAGACAGAGCAGGGCAGCATGATCACAAATGCCCTGCATTCCTCAGAGGAGGGGGAGGCAGCCTGGAGAACTGGTAGGGATGTACAACCAGATTACAGCTGCTGAGAGAGGGAGAGGCACTGCTGCTTTCAGCACTCCTGCTCCATTGCAAATAATCATGTCGTGGCTTTCAAAAAGTATCACCTACTATCCTGTTCTGCTTCCCCCACAGACTGCTAAACTGGCTTGCTTAGAAAGAATTAAGATGTAACAGAGATGGATATGAAAGAGGAGGAGAAAAAGTTCAAACCAACTACTGAACATCCTGAAAGAATGGCAAAAGAGTTAGCATGGTAAGTAAAAATAAGGCAGTGGCTTTTTCCCAGTGTGGTTTCTCAAGAGTATTTAACATTTGGATATTTCCTTTCATTGCTTTCTGCCACTCAAACTTCTTTGTTATTTAGCTTTTCAGATCAAAAGTGGTTTTTCTCCTATAAAATCTAAAAAAAGTTCCTAAGGCAAACTGTATTTCTGGCTGAGTTAATAATGTGTGGTTATCTAAAGCAGGATCAAATGGAAAAATGAAAAACTAAATGAACTTACTGAGCAGACCAAATGGTTCAAGAGGTGCCTAAGAGTCAAACTCTTAGGAGTTCTCTCTCTGATGAAGAATTTATTCAGAACTGAACAGCCAGGTTAAGGCTTGTGCACCATGGCACAGACTGTGTGCCATTCAGGGGAGAGTTACAGGAGTGAAGACTGGTAAGCTGGGGACTCACAGAGAAAGAGAAAACTGTGGAAGAACATTCATTTTTCAGGCAGAGAGGGTCAGCATTCAACTTCAGGGGACCTGTTCCTACAAGACTTTAGGCTCCTGGACTGCTTGAGGAAGAGGTGAAGAAGTTAGGAAGGCTCCAAATAAAAAGGGTAGGAGCAATGAATAAAAACTAAATAGGAAGAAATACTGAGTAAGGATGGATGGACAAAATAAGGGAACAAAAAGACAGAGTCTGAAGAAAGCAGTGCCTCTCTCTTGACCTTAACAACGTGCAAGAGGGGCCTGGGGTCAGATTCAAGGGCTGCCCTTGACAATGCAGCTTCTGTGTTTCCCTGGAGAGATAGTGATCCAGATGGGAAAAGTCATCATCCCTTCTCCTTCTGAGAGATGCCTCCAAAGAAAAAGGGGCCATGGAGGAGTCAAGAGGAGCTCTCTGCCCACTAAATGGAGACTGGGCTGCCTGATCTGAGTGGCAGGGAGGGGAAAAGTGGAAATAGCCAGAATCTTTGTTTCCCGTTCCTCAACTCTCCTACCCACTGGGGGCTTCATTCCCTTGGGCAATGCTGCAGCCACTATGTGGGCATTTAATGAAAGGTGAAGGGGCCTGGCCATGGTCCTCACCAGTGAAATTGCATTGAGGTCTTTGCTTGGAGAAATGTGTTGCCTCATCTAGAGGGTGGGTATTCAGCCTATGGGAAGGATTTCAGCAGGTGAACTGGGAAAGCCTCCCTACAAGAGTCTGGGGAAAATGTGATAAACTACCCTGTGATGGTGACAAGGGTTACAGCTTGATCCCCCAGCAGGGATCAGGAGTCCACTTCTGACCTTCTGCACTCACCCACCATTTGAAGGCAATTCCTTTGTAAGGATCTCAAGTACAGTAACATTGGAGGAGAAGGATTATGAGGGGAAAGGCAGAGACTTGAAGTTTAGGAAAGAATTAACAGGCCATTTTGAAGAGTACCAGGTCTAGCTTTGATGATGAACCTGCTTTGAATGATGGAAAGGGTTGGATCAGTGGCTTGAAGGGAAAACCTAAATTATCTGATTTCATGCTTCAATGTGAGTAGCATGATTTTTTAATTTTTAAATTTTTCCTATTCTCTTTTAGGATAATTGCCAAGACAGTCAACAAAATAAAGACTTTGATAAGGTAATTCCAGGAAAAATTATTCTTGTTAATGCCACCCAGACTGACAAGTGTGATATCAATAAAAAAGAAAAATCTGTCCCAGACACAGTTTGATCAGAACATGTATGCTCATGAACAGTCATAGACAACAGATCAGGACCACTTTGAAAAGAGAAGCAACTTTTCTCCTCTTGGGAGGCAATGATCCTGAGAAAGTCTTCAAAACCACTGCATTAACAATCTGTACATGCACATGATGCAGAATCAACAGCCTCATAAAAACAGAAAATATCAGGTTATTCAAACAACATCCAGTGGTTTTCTTTACCCACCCAAATATATTTATAGTCCTGAGTATAAAGCAAACATATGATTTCTTCAGGATCACTATCTTATCTCTACATCTCTCTTCTTATGCCTGTTTTCAAGTTGGGTGCCTGCAGATGATGATTAATGTCCTGGGGTGACTTTATGATACTAATATATTAATAATGATTTCTCTTTTTCAACAGCGTCCAGTCTCAGCCAACATGGGACTTTTTCTTGACAGACACTGCACCGACACACAGAGCAGGGGACAGACCCAAACATGAAGAGGCTTCAGCTGAAATGAATGTCTGGTGCCAAGGCTAGCAGGGAAACAGAATGTGTCCAGTGCCCAGTAGAGCACATAAAAGAACAGGCTGTGAACCCCATTACTGTTCCTGGGACAGATTACCCCTCCCTAGCTGTTTCCACATACATTCCTTAGAGAGAAATTCACTTGTCACTGACCTGTTCCACTCGGATTTCAAATTCTCCATTCACCTTCTTCCCCTGGAAATATTTGGCCCTGCAGAAGAAACAAGAGAGACAAACATGGTTAAATAAGATTTTTGACTTTCATTACATACTGTTTTGCTTCTGCATTTCCTTTTTTGCTGAAGAATTTCTATCCGGGTCACAGCATGTTTTTCTAATTCCTATCTTCTTTTAGCTTTCTGTTCTCCAGGAGAAACCTGCCAAGCCAGATGAAAACCACATTGGAAAGTTCCTTCAAGGCTTGTTACTTTTTCATTTAATTTTCAAACTGAAAACCAAATGTTCTCCTAATCTTTTCCAGGGAACAACTCTAATCAGTGATTCCTTGCTATATCTCATTTAATACTCAATCTTTATTCTGTAAAAGGAGAGCAACATATGGCACAGCATTGGGAACTTCTTCTGATGTTGAGCAAGGAGCTTTACCATCACAGCTGAAGTAGTTGTGAAGCCTGTTCCCATGCTCTCGCACTCCAGAGCTGCTTTCCACTTCTGTTTCCTTATGCTATTGATTTAGGGAAGCTGTATCTGCATCTCTAGAGTGTCACTGATGAAGGATCTCTTCTCTGAGATCTGAAAAACTGTGTTTGCTTTAGGGTTGAACGCTCCTGTGAGAAGAACATACACCTTCTACCACCTGTGTTCCTATCTCCCCACTATTCAGACAACAAAGCACTTCTAGAAGGTTGCTCATGCAAGGGGAAGGCTGACAGTAGTGCTGGAGAAGAAAACAGAGGAAAAGAGAAGGCAGTTTTAGCTTTTTATATTCATATTTGTGTATAATGCCCTTTATATTGATTGGTCAGTGGGGAAATTGCCAATATAAATTTCCCTGTGACTATTTCTCCCCAATTCTTCCTCTCACCGAACAAGCTTGACAGAAGAAAAAATGAATTTATTTTGTCAGTCCTCCTCCCCTATAAACTTTCAGAAGGCCATGTAGGCTCCAAAGGGCTCCTCTATTTGGAAAGCACTGAAAACAGTTCAGCCCTGCAAGAGCCGTTTCCAGAGAAAAAGTAACTCTGGGTTCTATATCCAATTGGCAAAGACAGGACAGAATAAAGAAGTAAAGGAAAATGAGGGGAAGCCGGCTTTTCTCCCTATTTTATAGTATAAGCAAAAAAAAAACAACTAAAAAAAGATGGCTCACATCTTTACTATGTGCCTATTTGTTTCAATAAAAAAAGGAGAGACAGTAGGAAGGCAATTTTGCCCATGGCTGAAACACACCAGTTTATAGCTGAATGCTCCCCACCCCCAGAAATGTGACGTGTAAATAAAATGTTGCATTGTCATTCTGGCTCAAAATGAAATAGAAAATAATAGAAAAATACATATAAAATGTCAAAAGCTTTCTGTTTAATTCTAACAAGGACATCTGAATGCTGTATCACACTTCCCTTCCCAGACAGCCCATCCATCAGCATGGTGCAAGTAAGACTTCTGCATAGGACAGGGACGCTGTAGCAGCCAGGTGTAACCAAGACCAGGTGACTTGAACAACCCCTGTCTGTTTGGTATAAAAAGCAGATCTCTGGCCATTTTTCCTCCTTTTTTTTTTTTTTTTTTTTTTTTTTAAATTTACTCGCATTGGATGAAAAAAACAACTCTGCAGACAAACTAAGACATCACTCCTCTAACAATAAACAGGAACTGTAAATGCACTTAATAATTCCATTAAATTTCTGGAGGCATGGCTCAAGAGGGTCTGGCAACATTCCTCACTCCTAAACACTGGGGATATTGCTGGAACCAGTGACTTCTTAAAAGCTGCAATAAGCTTTCAGAGGGCTCACAGGAACTGGTCTGAAATTTGAGGCACACTATTCGCTGGTACAAGTTTGCTTTTATTCCCAGCATGCTCATAATATATATTCCTTACCCACATTTATGAAACACACTTCCTCCCTCTATGGCACCTCCTTTTTGTTGACCAGCTGGTTGCAAACTCCTTGGTGCTGCTTTGCTTCAGCTTGTAATGGAGAGCGATTGACCACAGCCCTCAGCCTGGTTCAGATGCAGCAGAGGCTGCCTGGTCCAGGAAATCAGCCTCCACAAGGTTACAAAATCATCTTTCTCCTCTCTGCAGTACAGGCTGGGCTTAAGGATGGTCACACACAGAGGGTGCATCCAGCCTTGGGAGTTGTTGGAGTAGTGCAAGGGACCTGAGCTTAGACACTGTGTGACCTCTCTGTCCTATCCCTCTTTCCACACTGGTTGTCTCATCCAACATCCCCAGAACTTTCCTTTAACAGTACAGTATATCACTTTCTTTCCAAGACAGCCCCCCTGAAGCTTAACCTGCTCTGTCTGTGAAGACTACAGGTGCTAAGCAATTTGCAGCCAAATATTTTGGTCCACCCATCATTTTGACACAGCCCAGAGTAAGAATAAAACATTTCTTACTGAAACATCTCTGAAATGGATGGAGTGATGTTTTCAATTCTCACCTAGGGTTTTGGAAGCCCGGGGAAGTAGAGGCTATCACACTGAAATGAAAAATGGCATTAGCATCCTCCTGGAGCCCCTCAAATTTTAAGCAAGCTGAAATCATTCCTGATGCTGTAGAAGCATCACACCTCTTGCAAGAGAGAGACTCTTTTGGTCAGGTCTGCACAATGTCTGAAATGGCTTGTGGCCCTTACAGTGGGCAAGAGAAAGGAAAGACCACGTTGCTGTGGTGGGGCTGCATGAGAAAGAGGGATGTTTCTGGCAATCTCATGGCTGTACAAGACATTTGTGGATGCTCTCTGCCCCAAAACCACCTGAGCAAGTCTCCTCCAGACCTCTGTCTAGGACCTGACTCCTGCAGAGTTATCTAGGCAGCTTGTAGTGTGGCAGAGGAGCTGTGCCCAGAAGACCAATCCAAAAACTTTCTGGGAACCTTGGAAGTATCCCCACTCTCCTTCAGCATAGCTCCCAGTGATGAGAGGAGCAGCTCATGGCCCCAGGAGGGCTCGACGTCCCCAGCTGGGGACACTGGGCAAGCCACTTGCCACACAGACCCACAGCCAGGCAGTCTGCAGCACTGACCACTGCTTGGCTGGCCACCCCTTTATTTTAAAGCATGTCAGATGTTCAGCTCAGCAGAACACAGAGCTATAATTTGGCTAGGCAGGGTGCAGATGGGCTGGTGTGGCTGCTGTGATCTAAGTGAATTAGGATGTAAACATGTTTTGACTGAAGAAAACTGCGGGGCCACGCTCGAGAGCGGTTCCTGGGTGGGATCTATAGAGCTAGGCAACCCATTGAAATGTGGCCCCATGGACTGGGAGGGAGGAAGCATCATGACAAACAGTCAAATGTCTGCCCTGGCTTGCAGGAAAGAAGCTTGCCTTGAACCCCTCTCTCTTTCTGATTAAGAAGCTGCATGCTTTGGAAAGGACATATTTTCTGGGTGCAAAGGCACCAAACAAACCTAACTTTTGCTTTCTGCCTCAGCTCTGACATGATTACAGGGACAAAAGAAACCCAATGCCACTTCTTATGAAGTAATCTGGAAAGGATAGAAGTTTATTTTGCAGAGATATTCTGTAAACCAGGCCCAGTCTTCCTCAATTACCATGGCTGGAGGAAGCATACACAACAATTTTCTATCAGATACGAAGTGTACTTTTAACAGCAGCAGGGAATAATAAAAGATCAATTCACCTCCCATTACCTACCTCAGGCTAATTCACAGATTTTTCAGATCTTCCTAGGAGAGACCTCAGTGGAACTGCTATAGCAAATATTGGAATGCTATCTTGGAAACTGGGAAGCCGTTCTTCAGATGAACTAATAAGCCTGAGCCCAAATCCCCTGTGACATGAGTGAACCCTGACTCACACCTGTGTCACTGTTCAACAGAGGCCTTGAGCTACAAACTCAAGAGCTGGCTGGTACCTTCAACCCCAAAATAGGCTCTCCTCACTGAGAGCATGAGAGAAGGACACTAGGATATTGAAATAGCAAATTCCTCCTAACCCTCTGACTGAGCTCATGCCTCTGGATCAAGACACAACAAGCAGAGAAAGCCAAGCCAAACTTTGCATGAAAACCACTTCTTATCTGGTGCAGGAAACAGCCTTTCCTATGCTGTAGAGGGGCCAGAGCAAAACACGATGAAGAGAGAAATGCATGGGACTCTTGGGGAGACGTGGGTAACAGAGTGGGTGGAAGAAAGGAGAGAAATGGTAAGAAGAGACTCGAGTAAACAAACCAAAAGGCAATTTACCATGGGTAAATTCTGGAATTATCAGAATTATTTCCCTGGTATCACATTACACATATTTCTCTTGAGCCCTTGGGTAAATAAGGCATGTAAGTTCTTTCTGGATAATCCAGGAAAAGGCGAGGCTGAAGCCCCCTGGTTTGGGTGTGGGGGCACCTCGGGGAGAGTGGGGAGGTGGTGAGCCACTGTATAAAATCCCTGTGTCAAAGGGCCCGGGGGCCCAAGTGATGCACAAGGCACTCACTGTATGTCTGCATTGTCTCCTTCATAAAAGGGGCTGGGACTGGGAAAAAGGAGGCAGTTTCCAAGATACTGGCTAGCAGCTGCTGGAATGCCTCGACCCCCCCAGCCCCTACATGCTATAAGGGCAGCATGGAGGGGAAGGGAGAGGAGAGATGCATTTCTGTCCCTTTTTTTTTTTTCCAAGAGTGAAAATAAGGAAGGTTTTCCTTTCAGGAGCCAGTTCTCACTCGCTCCACCACTTTTCTCCACTTTAGAAATTCTCAGCCATACATAATAAGGAATTTTGAGATGGTCAACTCCTGACTGCCCAGGGCATAGGGATGGGAAAAATCACTCTATAAATGTTGAGGTCTGCAAACTGCTGGAGCTTTTGTCCACATCTACTTTGGCCCAGATGCCTTTATGCAGTGTTCAGCTGTGAGATGGACTGGTTGGTAATTAACACTTATTCTGCAGGAGTATCTTGGGTCAAGGGATGGGGGCATCAGAATGGCAAATAAGAGCGATTGATGTGTGCTTTGGCACCTCAGAAAACAAGGTTTGAATTAAAAGTTAAATGGGCCAGAGGCAAGTGC